GGTGACGAGTCTGCTTACAGTCAGGAGGTTAAAGAGCTGGCTGTCTGGTGCAGTCTCAACAACCTGGCGCTCAACACGCTCCAAACTGTGGAGATGACCGTGGACTTCAGGAGAAACCCCCCTGCACTCCCCTCACTCACCATCATGGACAGCACTGTGACTGCAGTGGAGTCATTCAGGTTCCTGGGCACCACAATCTCTCAGGACCTGAAGTGGGACACTCACATTGACTCCATTGTGAAAAAGGCCCAGCAGAGGTTGTACTTCCTTCGCCAGCTGAGGAAGTTCAACCTGCCACAGGAGCTGCTGAAACAGTTCTACTCCGCCATTATTGAATCTGTCCTCTGCACTTCAATAACTGTCTGGTTCAGCTCAGCTACCAAATCTGACCTCAGAAGACTACAGAGGGTAGTCCGGACTGCTGAGCGAATCATTGGTACAACCCTCCCTTCTCTCCAAGAACTGTACTCATCCAGAGTGAGCAAAAGGGCTGGCAGAATCACTCTGGACCCCTCACATCCAGCACACTCCCTCTTTGAACTGTTGCCATCTGGTCGACGCTACAGAGCACTGAGCACCAGAACGACCAGACACAGGAACAGTTTCTTCCCTCAGGCCATCCATCTCATGAACACTATAATATATCCAATAACTGTGGAACACAAACTATTTATTCACTCATACACTTATTTAACTAACACACATACTCAGTCTACATTTCAATTTGCACATAATATACCTGTACATACAATTGTCGATTTGTATATTTTTTTATTCATTATTTTACTTGTTCTATTTTTTATTTATTTAAATTTTTTATTATCTGTGTTTTTTTTGTTCTGTCACTGTCATTCTGTTACACTGTGGAAGCTTCTGTCACGAAAACAAATTCCTCGTATGTGTAAACATACCTGGCAACAAAGCTCATTCTGATTCTGATTCTAATAAGGTGTGGCGGTGGTTCAGGATGTGGGCTTAAAGCTCAAAGATTGTAGATTCAAACTCAGCAACAGATGACTCATAAACAAGAGAAATACACAGATTTAACACGTTTTTTTAACTATATGTACTTCACTGTTCCCAAACGTGAGCTGCCAATATACAAACTCCATACAGATTGCGATTACATGGTAGACGCATGTCGCTAAGCTAACACAGTATTAGCATATGACACAAATATTGGGTAAAATTGTTTATTTGAAATAGACTAGCTATTTTGTTCTCAATATTTTTCAGTACTGATTGAAATAAAAGTTTATAAATAGTTGACGTTTCTCATCTTACATCTTTGTTTTATTCTTTTTCAGGACTTCTTAATTAGCCTCCATAGGCATCTCACTAGGTTTTACTTTTGTTTGACTAGCTGTCTATTATTCAACTGTTTCTAACTGCTACCAGATTGTTTGCATTTCAGCAATTAAGTCTTGAATTGTATTGGCACATGTGGCCTGACACACATATATCATGATGCATGTATTTAAAAAAACAGTCAAAACTAATTTTTATGTTATATATATTTTTCAGAAACAGACCCAGAAAGGTTCTTATTGAATCCAACTCTCCAAGTATCCAAGTTGATCTAATTTCCATGGCAACATCACAAAGTATTTCAAACAAGGTTAGACTGGATGGACATATGCACTCTATTTTAAAGTTTACCACAAAGTAAACAGTAAGTAATCTTCATTGTACAGGCTGGCAGGTGTGGCCCATTTGTTGCTAATGTGTCTCAATGCAGGTAAGCATGCAGTGAAAACGTTTAGAGTGACAGCTGCCTGTTTCCTCAAGCAGTTCAATATGCTAGCAGCTGTATGATCTTTAGCATGTTATCATGTTGAATACATATCCTCTTCGTGCATTTCAGCAAACAGATGTGAGACAGGTCCTGCTTGGAGGAGTGTACTGCATTTACAGCTCGCCGAGTGAACAGTGCCAAAATCTGCATTCAGCATGAGGTTCTCGTGAGTCTTTGCATGCAAGCGCTTACATAGCTGTAGTTTATTCTGTTTTAGTCCTTTTTAAAGTCCGGCATGAAAGTAACTCAAATGTACTTTGTTCTGACACACTGATTTGATTTTCATAGCCTGCAAGTATTTGAGCATGCGGGCCATGCTGAAAATACAATTTGACTGAGTTGTTTTAGAAAGAAGATGGAAACAGTGTCACATCTAAGTTAATGTATAATTTTAAAACTAAAACAGGGAAAAATATGGGTAAATTCATTGTAACGCACAACCTGGAGTGGCTTATTGCTTTATAAAATGGCGACAACAGCCAGGAAATTTATTCTGATTTTCTGAGTGCATCCACCTTACTTTTAAGGCAATAGCTGTATTTTATGAGCTTCGTCTTGCTTGGTTGAAGTTACGTTAATTGTTAGTATCAGCAGTCGAGCGTACGGATAGTAGATCTGTCTTTGATGGATGGTTAGAGAAATAGGATGGATGGATAGATAGATAGATAGATAGATAGATAGATAGATAGATAGATAGATAGATAGATAGATGGGTGGGGTAGATAAATGGGTATAGATAAATATATAGATGGATGGATGGGTGGGTGGACAAATGAGTAGATAGATATATAGATGGATGAATAGACAAATGAGGTGATGGGTGGGTGGGTAGATAAATGGATATAGATAAATTTACAGATGGATGGATGGGTAGACAAATTAGCATATATATCTATCTATCCATCCATACATCCATAGATAGATAGATAGATAGCTGGATGGATAGACAAATAAGGTGATAGTTGATCTATCTATGATGGATTGATAGATAAATGGGTGGATGATAAAAGGGTAGATGGATGGGGTAGGTAAATGGATATAGATACACTTATAGATAGATAGATAGATGGGTGGATAGTAGATCTGTCTATGATGGACTGATAGAGAAATGGGTAGATGGATAGATATGTTGGTAGACAGATGGGTAGACAAATGTGTAGATATATATATGGATGGATGTATAGAGAAATGGATAGATAGATAGATAGATAGATAGATAGATAGATAGATAGATAGATAGATAGATAGATAGATAGATAGATAGATAGATAGATAGATAGATAGATGGATGATAAATGGTTATGTGGGTATATAAATGGATATAGCTATACAGATGAATGGATGGGTAGACAATTGAACAGATAGATAGATAGATAGATAGATAGATGATAGACAGTTAGACAAACAGTGGCTAGATGAGTAGATAAATGGGTAGATCGATAGACAAAAAGGTAGATATAGATTTGCTATATAATGTGTTTAATTGTATCATCTGTTATCCTTCATCTGTCAGGATGTGAAGATGTGATGTTGACAGATGTTATTGTTATTTACACGCACGAGTTGTGCTCATTCTAGAAGATTCGTTGCTCTGCAGGCAATGTATTTCACTTATCACATTACTAGCACTCAATTAAACCGCTGACAAGAGCTGCGCCCGATCATTCAAAGTTGTACAAATGAACACAAACCTTTCTGTGTCGTGCCAAACCACCACAGAGATAAAAGCCGAATGTTTATTACTGAATTCATCAATCAAAGCACTTGCTGAAAGCAATTTGTCACACTCACGACACTGATTTTCTCACGGTAACCGAGCAAAGCGCTATTGTTGCAGCTTTTATTCCGCTGAGTCACAGACAGATGGACTTACAGCTACTAACACAACAAACCTGTTGCTCTATTGACCCCTACATAAATCTCTTCTACTGCCAGCAACAGGGGGCCGCCAAGGTGTATTCAGGTGCGTCTAGGCCTTACTGAGGATAATACATGTGGGACGAATGATTAGGACTCCCACAATCTCCTGCGGAGTGCCTGTCTCAGGTGTATGTTTGGGGCTAAACAAACACTCTCTTTGTTTCCCAGCAAATGTTTATCAGGCCAAATCAAAGTCTGGACTTGCATAACAATGCTACTAGTCTGAAACAAATCTGCAATTATTATTATGTTTTTATTTATCAGTTAAAGTTTGTTGAAAAGTAGTTTATTTGTTCATCTAATTTATTAAAGTTATTTTAAGGTATACGTTTAAGTCTACATTTTTTTGTCTGTTTTATATACATTTATTTTCATTAACTTTTTTTGTGTAATCTAGAAGCCCTTTTCTCCAATCCTTTATTTCATTTATTAATTTCATTTTTTTTTTAAGTCACAAGAATATACATTTATTTTTTTTATTATTTTTACATGCCTTCCTCTAAAACAATCACTGA